TTTTTTTTTTTTTTTTTTTTTTTTTTCTTTTCAGTTTCATACTGAAAAAAAAAAAAAAAACCCTGGTTTTGGGTTGGATTTTTGTGGACCAAAATGCCCTTTTTGTGTTATAATTTGTTTCCTACCATGTTTATCGAGAAAAAAAAAAACGTTACACTTTGTGTTTATTTGATCTCTAAACTTTTTAAAATGTCTGATATATCCCGAAACTTTTAATTATGTGTAGATTAAACTCTTGAACTTTATAGTCTGTGTTTAATTATGTTAGGGTCATTCAGACGGAAAATCGAGAGTGCAGAATAGACTAGCTGAAGATGGAAGAGTGAACGTTGTGGACAAGCTTTCTCGCAAAGGTTTTCTCTAGTTGGGAACTTGGGCGGGCATAATCAACCAGACCCAGTATGACATTCCTTCGAATCCTAAATATAATGCTATCTAAATGGCGAGATAATTCCATCAAATTTTAAACTTTCCATCTCGTATCTAATAAATTTTAAAAATATTAATTGATAATTGATATGTAGATAATGAGTTGACTTTTATTCTAATGACGTCGGTCAATGACTTACCATTGAAAATTTTAGAGATCTATTAGACATAAAATTAAAAAATTAAAGAATTTATTAGACGTTTTAAATTATTTTGAAAACTAACACTTTATTAGTTAGGACGGAAAATTCGTAGGCCGAAATTATTCAATAAGGCTATCACAATTTGAACCGATACAAATTTTAAAATATTTATTTCATTTTCCCTCACCAAACTCTAATATATATATATATATATATATAATTGGAAATAAATACACAAATTTGGGGAACCCCTAGGAAAATTCAACACAAGGACACAACCGTAATTTCACAGTGCCCTAAGCTCATCTAATTGTTCCCATAAACAGTCTCTCCACTTTTTCTCCCTCACAAAAACCACACCCTCATAAACCTCGTCCCCTCTGTCTGTCTGTCTGTCTGTCTCTGAAATTCAGCCATGGCCGACTTGTTTGGCAGCTGGAATTCCCGAATTCGGATCTCGATTATCATCTTGTTTGTGGGTTTCTGTTCTTCCTGTTGCTGCAGCAATTCTCGCAAAGATTCGTCTTCTATTCACTCGCTCCTGCGCTCCATGGGGCTGCCGGCAGGGCTGGTGCCCAAGCAAGTGAAATCTTACACATTGGGTGAAAATGATCGGCTGGAAGTGTACTTGGATGGGCCATGTATGGCCAAATATGAAAACAGAGTGATTTTTGAAAGTGTTTTTAGTGCTAATCTTAGCTATGGGAGCTTGATTGGAGTTCAGGGTATGTCTCAGGAAGAGCTCTTTCTATGGCTGCCGGTTAAGGATATCATTGTTAATGATCCTTCTTCTGGTGTCATTCTTATTGACATTGGTGTCGCGCATAAACAGCTCTCTTTGTCTCTCTTTGAAGATCCTCCTGATTGTAACCCTCAAGGTGAATTTTCACTTAGATCTCTTTTGATTTTTGTTGGGTTTTGATTCTTTTTGTTGATCTTCCATTAATGGCTTCTCTTGGGTCTGTTTTTTTTTGTTGATCTTTGGGCTCATCCATGGCTTCTTTTGGCTCTGTTTCCTCTGTTTTGGCATTTGCTGCTACTTCTTGTGTTTCTGCTATCATCAATGGCTTCTCATGGCTTTGTTTCCTCTGTTTTTGGCTTGGCTACGTCTTTATTTCGTCTCTGATTCACTCTAAATTGATGGGTTCTTATTTTTCATCGTTTTTCTCATTCATGGCTTCTTTTGGCTCTGTTTCCTCTGTTTTAGCATTTGCTGCTACTTCTAGTGTTTCTTATCTCATAAATGGCTTCTCATGGCTTTGTTTCCTCTGTTTTTTTCTTGGCTACATCGTTATTTCCTTTCTGATTCACTCTAAATTGATGGGTTCTTCTTATTTTTCATTGTTTTTCTCATTCATGGGTTCATTTGGCTCTGTTTCCTCTGTTTTAGCATTTGCTGCTACATCTTGTGTTTCTTCTATCATCAATGGCTTCTCATGGCGTTGTTTCCTCTGTTTTTGCCTTGGCTACCTCTTTTCTTTGATGGGTTCTTCTTACTTTTCATCGTTTTTCTCATCCATGGCTTCTTTTAGCTCTGTTTTCCTCTGTTTCTTATGAACTCTGTCACTAACATTCATCATTTTTCTGTAAATTGCTGGGTTCTGTTTCCATTTTTTCCCCTCACAAATGGGTTAATTTTGATCTTGTTTTATCTTACTTGAATCCATTCCTCTGGCTTTAATTTAGCTTCTCAATGAACAGTTCTGTTGCTCTGCCTTCCTCTCTCTAGATTGGTTCCTTTCTTCATCTCTTTTCCTTCATTAATGGCTTCCCTTGCCGCCATTAATGGCTTCTTCTTCTTCTCTGTAAATCAATATTTCGAGTTCATTGTTTTAGACAGAGAGATAGAGATCTGTTCTTGTTTTGTTTCTTTCCATGTCTGAGTTTCTTTGTGTCTGGTTTTTTGCAGCTGCACTGAGGAATCCTCTGAGGAAGAGAAGAGACTTTGAATCTCTTAGATAAGAGGCCAAAAAAAAAAACAATGTGAAATTCAAGTTTCCAACTTTTGTATTTATATTATTTTGTTGCAATAATTTTATTTTTAACTTTATTAAGAAATCATTTGTCACACTTTAGTGTATAATGAGAGCTTGTGTGGTGAAATTTTGGAATTAAAAACATCTTTTTATGTGTGTATCGTCGTCGGTCTCACGGTTTTAAATTACGTATGTTACGGAAAGGTTTTTATACCATTATAAGGAATGTTTCGTTCTTCTTCTCTCCGTGAAATATCACAATCTACCTCCTTGGGGACCTAACATTCTCGCTAGCACACTGTCTGGTGTGTACCCTTCTTTAATCGATGTGGGATCTCACAATCCACTCTCCTTGGGGACCTAACGTTCTTGTTGGTACATCATCCGGTGTCTAACTCTGATGACACTTGTAATAGCTCAAGCCCCACCGCTAGTAGATAGTGTCCACTTTGGCTCGTTGCATAGTGTTGTCAGCCTCACGATTTTTAAAACAGTTCGTTAGGGAAAAGTTTATATGCCCTTGTAAGGAATGCTTCATTTCCCTGTGTCAACCGATGTGAGATCTCACAATTCATTCTCCTTGGGGACCCAACGTCCTCGAGGGCACACCACCCAGTGTCTAACTCTGATGTCATTTGTAACAACTCAAGCCCCACCGCTAGTAGATATTGTCCACTTTGGCTCATTGCGTACGCTGTCATTCTCACGATTTTTAAAACGGTCTGTTAGGGAAAAGTTTCCACACCTCGTAAGGAATGCCTCGTTTCCCTCTCCAACCGACGTGGGATCTCACACAAACCCTCCCTCTCCAACCGTTAGGGAAAAAATTCCTTTTTGCGACGATTGAGTGAAATATATGAATGAATCGAGATCACGTCAAAATAAGATGAGAGTGATCCTGAGAATAGTATGGTTGAGAAAATCTTAAAAGAATTGAAAGTTACTATCTCTACCAACAAAAAACCTTAAAAAATAAGCGTATTTAGCTTGAAACAATCTTATTTTGTTCGACTTTCTAGTAACTTTACTAAGAAACATGTGAGTGAGATCAAACCATACCGAAAACAATCAGTGGATACCATCTTTACTCTTAGAAGCAACAAACAGGAAATATAGTCATATCTCAGGAGAATGTCGAGGTCATTAACGAAATCATTACTCCTATGAATTTTTCTCAGAAGCATGTGAGTGAGGATAAAACACGTTAAATAACTCATGTTGGTCTATGAAGATAGTATTTACTCTTTAAAGCGACAAACACCTAACGTCGTCATATTGTAGAAAAATGTCGGGATCACCGGGTGCTCATTTTTTAATGTTCTTAAAATAATTTATAAAGACAAATAATTAGACAAGGAACCAAAGCAAAGGATATTGTAATCTAATTAATGTCTTTTTTAAGGTAAATGTTTGGTTCTATTTTATTTCCCATTGTGTACTCTATATTAGTATTTGTCTCTTTCTTTTTGTTCAATATCGATATTTTAAATTTAAAAAAAAAAAATCATTTATTTATTTATTTTCTTTGATTTTCCCGTCAAATTCACCCCTTTTGTTTTTTCACATTATTTTTATTAAAAAAAATTAAAATATTTTTGATAATTTATAATTATATTTAATTTATTGGCATTTTCCGCCGATAATCATGCAATTTCCTTAGCATTATTATAAATAATAATAAATTATAAATTTTGCGTAATTTTCAATTTTAATTTATATTTTTCGTCAATAATTATGCGATTTTCTCGGCATTATTATCCAATAGTGATGAAAGTGGGGTCCACTAGTTTTGTTTTACGCGAGAATGTGGGCCCAGATGACAGATGGTTTAGGCGGGTCCCACCATTCACATGCCTAATTTCCAGCGTGGGCTCCAGATAATTCCAGTTTTTCCACGTGTCATATGTCTATTAGTGGAAACGAACGAGTTTAAAGCGAGTTAACGAGGGTCGATATTTGTACACTGTTTACGTGGACTTGACTTTTAGGGCCCCACCGCTGAAATGAGTTTTAAATCAATTAATTAAAAATAAAATTATTTCAACTAATTGTAATTTTGGTAATTTTCTCTTTATTTTAATATTGAATTGAAATAAATTAGCTAAATTATAGTGTAATTAAATATAAATGTGAAATTACATGGATAAATAAATTTTAAAAAATAAATTTATTATAAAATAGAGTTAGATTTAATATTTTAAATATATGTTTGGTAATAATTTAAAATTATAAATTAATTTATAATTTATTTTATGTTATAAATGGGGTATATTACTAATTTTATAATATCACACAATTTATAATATATTATACATAATTTAGTTTATTGAAAAAAACAATAAATTTATAGCATTTTGTATCGAACAATTCAAAAACAATTTTTGAAAAATATATATGTTCGTAAAACAAATGTTCGTGTTACTATTATTTTTTATTAATATTATAATTTTGCTGGGTTCGAACTTGGCTGAGGATGAATACTAGCGGCATGCTTAACACATGCAAGTCGGACAGGAAGTGGTGATTTCAGTGGCTGACAGGTGAGTAACGCGTAAGAACCTGCCCTAGGGAGGGGAACAACAGCTGGAAACGGCTGCTAATACCCCGTACACTGAGGAGCAAAAGGATGAATCCACTCAAGGAGGGGCTCGCGTCTGATTAGCTAGTTGGTGAGACAATAGCTTACCAAGGTGATGATCAGTAGCTGGTCCGAAAGGATGATCAGTCACACTGGGACTGAGACTGAGACACGGCCTAGATTCCTACCGGGGGGGCAGCAATGGGAAATTTTCCACAATGGGCGAAAGCCTGACAGAGCAATGCCGCATGGAAGTAGAAGGCCTAGGGGTCGTGAACTTCGTTAACAACTATATTGATAAATTAATAGTTTGATTATAAATTTGGTCCGTATAGTTAGACACAATTTCAATTTAGTCCCTGTAAATGTAAAATTTCAATTCAGTCCTCGTAGTATCGAGATTTGAACTTTTGATTTCAAATAAGGTAATACAGGGCATGTCTCAATTTGAAGTCAGACCTCACGAACCTTCACGTTCTTACTCCTAATTTTTCTAATATTACGAATTTGACCTCTATATTATATAGATTCAACTCTAGACGTTTAAAACGATAACAAATGTCTTACCTAATAAATTATGTTCGAGGCTGTACTGAAATATTAAGTAAGTCGGGAAAATAATTGATTTGGTATTTAATGATGACGAATGGGGCCTTTGATTAATGTGAATCATCACCTATCCATGCAAAACATATTCATTTTTGTGGGACCCAACAGCCTCTCTCTCTCTCATTTAAAGAAAGTAAAACGACGTCGTTTTTCGTTGACCTTTCTTCACCTTCCAACCTTAAGGCTTAAGGCTTCTTTTTATTATTAAAAAATGCTTACTTAATAAATTTATAGTATATTATTTCCCTATTTAGTATAAAATTCATTATTTTTATAGAATAATTAATTAATTTGAAATTTAATTCCAACTTTCCATATTATATTTAGTTTTAAATCATTATTTTGATAAGATTTTGAGAGAAATTTAATTTAATTTAATTAATTTTTAGTTGAATAAAGCAATAATATAAACCGTCTTAATTAATTTATTTATGAAAATTTTATAATTATTTTTATTAATTTGGAGTTTTAATTAATATTATGTTGAGAATCGAAATAAGAATACCAAAATAATATTTTAAAAGGGCCGACATCTGATCCACCAACTAAATGGGCCGGCCCATATGACTGAAACACTCTTCCACGTGGAAAATTGGATTTTAAAAAATAATTAAAATGAATAGGAAATTCTGCGGATGACCCAAAATATTGGGACTAAATTAGATTTGACCTAGTTTCAGCGGTTGCCACGTGTTGCTTAGTGTCAAATATTGTGGAGTGGATTAGATCGTATGCAACCGAGTGCATAGTAACCACTTCGGTAAATTACCTTCCTCTCCAACTTCAACGACTTGAAATAAAATATTATATATCCTCTTCAATTTAATACATTTTTATTTTTACATAAAAATAAAAAATTATTTTTTATTTTGTTTAATATGTGTGTGTCTATATATATATATATATTTGCGGGCTGTTATTTAACTGCTTTGTATGACGTGGCGAAATTTTATTGGTGGGTTTATAATAGAGCGCGAAGCACTTTATTATTCCTCCAATTTTACAAAAATAGTTTCAGGAAATCGTGTGACGTGGAAGCCCAGAAGGAAGCGCTTTTATTAACTGCTTTGTATGACGTGGCGAAATTGGATTGGTGGGGTTTATACTAAAGCGCGAACCACTTTATTATTCCTCCAATTTAACAATAAGCAAAGGCTCTTCGATTCTCTCGTTGTAGTTTCAGGAAATCGTTTCACCACCATGGGAGGAGGAGAATTCGTCAGGGCGGCGGCGAAGATGGCCGGAGCCGGAGTTGTTAACGCCGGTTTCCGAGGATCACCGATGGTGCCTCAGTTTGGGCAATTGCTTCGCAGCGCGTCGAGGCCATCGTCGGTTTCCGTCGGATCGTCTTCTCGAGTGCCGTCGGCGAAGGCCACTGCCGGCACCGAGGTAGACGTTGTGCAGAAACCGATTCGGGAGATAGATGACTGGGAATTCGCCAATTTTGAGGACGATTTGGCCGTGGACGCCGCTGGACCTGAGCCGAGGATTGTGTTTGGGACGGTTCCTAGTTTTGAAGAGGCGAAGGAAGCTGCAGCAGAGGTGAAGGAGGCTTTGGATAGGTATGACTTGAATTTCTATTCGCTTGAGTTTTGTTTGAATCGATTAATGAATGGTTCTGCTCTGTGCTCTGTGCTTTAATCCGAACTTTGTATCGATTTGGCTCGTTTCCATTTCATTAGGTTGTGAATCGTTTGTGTAATTGTGTGTTAAAGAAAACAAAGCGAAGAATTAACCATAACCCTCCATATATCAAAGGATGAAGTATGTTTTGGGTCTTTTCATTGTTATAGACTATTGTCATTTTACCTACCGGTAGATATTGTTTCTTTTGTGAAGAATTTTCTGTTAGGTTGTTTTTAGAACGGTATGTTAAGGAGAGATTTCTACACCCTTATATAAGAGATGTAAGATCTCATAATCCACCTTCTTTGGGGCCAGCGTCCTCACTAGCACTCGTTCCCTTCTGTAGGACCCCTAAATCCACCCCTATGGGGCATGATGTCTTTATTGGCACACCACCTCATGTCCACCCCCCTTCGAGGCTTAGCCTCCTCGCAGGCACATCGCCCGGTGTCTGGCTCTGATACCATTTGTAACCGTCCAAACCCACTTTGAGGCTCAACCTTCTCGTTTGGGCTTCCACTCATGGTTTTTTAAATGTATCTCTTAGGAAGAGGTTCCACTTCCTTATAGAAAGGCTTTGTTCTCCTCTCCAACCGATGTGAGATCTCACAATCCACTTCTCCCGGGACCCAGCGTCCTAGCTGACAATCTTTCCCTTCTCCAATCGATGTGGGACCCCCAATCCACCCCCTTTAGGGCCAGCGTCCTTACTATCACACTGTCCGTGTCCACCCCTTTGGGGCTCAGCCTCCTCACTAGCATATTGTCTTGTGTCTGGTTCTAATACCATTTGTAACAATCCAAGCCCATCATTTGTAACAATCCAAGCCCATTGCTTGTAGATATCGTCCTCTTTGGGTTTCCCTTTCGAGCTTCCCCTCAATATTTTTAATACGCCTCTTAGAGAGAGATTTTCACACCCTTATAAAGAATGTTTCGTTTTCCTCCCTGACCAATGTGGGATCTCACAGCTTTAATGTGCTATTTTTCGAGCTTAGTTTGTAATCTTTGCTCTAATTTCAAGCAGCTCCTGGCCACCTATTGCCACCCTGAATCAAAACCATGTTCTGGGGTGGCATTCTCTATTCTCCTTGATGTTTTTGGTTGATTTTTTCAGGGTATACTTGTCTTCTTCACCAGAATCTGGTGGATCAAATCTGATTGTCTGTTCATACAGTAAGCCAGAATCCGAGTCTTGTTTATCCATTGAGGTAAGTTCACAGCCGCAGACTTCAGTGCCTCAGCATGCAATTCAAGCATTTAGGCTGCTCAAGGAAAGTGCTGAAGCTCAGGTAATCAAACTACTGCTCTTCTAGTATCAATATTAATTTCTTAGGCTAATGTCAAGAAGTTCTTGCTAGAGGTTTAAGTCCTCTTCAAGGCATAAGGTTGAGAATGCCCCTTGAATTAGGAGAAATGATTTTGACAGTGGATCACGAAATCTTGGCAATCTTCTCTATCTAATGAATAGGAGTCCACTTTGAAATCGTCCGCCCTCCTCCTCCGAGTATATGCTTCAACATGAATTAAACAAGGGTAGATTGATACAATAGAGACTTGTGTTTTTGTAACGACCCAGGTCCACCACTAGCAAATATTGCCCTCTTTGGGCTTTCCCTTTCGGGCTTTCCCTCGAGGTTTTTAAAACACGTCTGCTAGGGAAAAGTTTCCACACCCTTAAGGGTGTTTCGATCTCCTCCCCATTCGACGTGGGATCTCATAGACATTGTAATGTTGAAAATAACATACTAATTGGAACGCATATGTGGCTATCCCCTTTGTGAGATACTACATCGGTTGGAGATGAGAACGAAACACCCTTTATAGGGGTGTGGAAACCTCTCCCTAGCAGACACGTTTTAAAAACTTTGAGGGGAAGCCCGAAAGGGAAAGCCCAAGGAAAACAATATCTGCTAGCGGTGAACCTGAGCTATTACAGTTTTTGTTGTTGTCTCTGCCACACCCGTTTTTCATATGAATAACATTGTTTAAAATCTTAATTTTTGACCCTACGATCTTTTTTTTCTTTTGCAAGACTTTCAACGTGTTATTTCGAAGAAATTCAAGTTTGATACAGTTTGGACACTTAAATGAGTACTGTTTTTTTCCTATTCAGACTGTTGTTGCCTCAATAGCCTCTGACCCCAATGTCTGGAATGCAATGTTGGGCAATGAAGCGCTTAAGAGCTTCTTGCAATCCCATCAGACCAGTAAGACTTAGTCTACAATAGCTCTGTAAGCATGCTTTTCTCGTCTCTAATGGCACGATTATACTCGTTGCAGACAAGGTACTCGAGTATCACGAAGAACTATCTGAGGAGCTTGAAGAAGAGGCACCAATTGTGAACCATGCCGAGGAGTCGAGAAACGTCTTTGACGAGACGTTAGAATATATTACGACTTCAATTGATGACATGCTAGCTAATGCATCCAGTTTTCTTCAGAAAATATTTGGAGGATCTGAAGTTTCAGGAAATGACAAAGCAGCCTCTGGATTCTTTACTACAGAGATAGCCATGGGATCATCAATTATGGGACTGGTTGTTCTCGTCATCGCCTTACTGGTTATGAAGCGGAATTAGACGTCGATATGATGTTCTTTTCGATAAATTTGTCGACGTTTCGGTCTTCGAATCTCTTATTCTGTTCTATTGATATGAGACGTATTACTGGATTGCTTACATGATGATAGGAATGGTTGTAAATATTTGGCTATTGCGCTTTTCTTTATGGTATTTGCTGGACTTTTTACATGCAAGGGGAGTTTTATTCGGTGTAATGTATATGAAAATATAATACGTGGAAGTGAACAAAACATTTTTCTATAAAGGGGTGGAAACCTCTCCTTATTTGACGCTGCGGAGAAGCCTATATGGGAAAGTGATAATATCCATTGGCGGGTTTTAGCTCTTACAAATAGTATCAGAGTTAGGCAACGAGTGGTGTGTCAGCGATGATGTTGGCCCCCAAAGGAAGTTACAACCAAAACTTACTCTGATCTTTACCATCGTTGCATGCCATTGAAACTAGACCAACGAAAAACATAATGTAACAGCCTAGTCCACTGCTAGCATATATTGCCCGTTTTAGCCCGTTAGTTGTCATCCTCACAATTTTTATAAAACATGTCTAATAGGAAAATGTTTCCACACTCTTATAAACATGTCTACTAGGAAAAGGTTTTCACACCCACTAACCGACATGGGATCTCACGGTTTCCACATCCCCTATCTAACCGACATGGGATCTCACGGTTTCCACATCCCCTATCTAACCGACATGGGATCACGGTTTCCACATCCCCTATCTAACCGACATGGGATCACGGTTTCCACATCCCCTATCTAACCGACATGGGATCTCACGGTTTCCACATCCCCTATCTAACCGACATGGGATCTCACGGTTTCCACATCCCCTATCTAACCGACATGGGATCTCACGGTTTCCACATCCCCTATCTAACCGACATGGGATCTCACGGTTTCCACATCCCCTATCTAACCGACATGGGATCTCACGGTTTCCACATCCCCTATCTAACCGACATGGGATCTCACGGTTTCCACATCCCCTATCTAACCGACATGGGATCACGGTTTCCACATCCCCTATCTAACCGACATGGGATCACGGTTTCCACATCCCCTATCTAACCGACATGGGATCACGGTTTCCACATCCCCTATCTAACCGACATGGGATCTCACGGTTTCCACATCCCCTATCTAACCGACATGGGATCACGGTTTCCACATCCCCTATCTAACCGACATGGGATCACGGTTTCCACATCCCCTATCTAACCGACATGGGATCACGGTTTCCACATCCCCTATCTAACCGACATGGGATCACGGTTTCCACATCCCCTATCTAACCGACATGGGATCACGGTTTCCACATCCCCTATCTAACCGACATGGGATCACGGTTTCCACATCCCCTATCTAACCGACATGGGATCACGGTTTCCACATCCCCTATCTAACCGACATGGGATCTCACGGTTTCCACATCCCCTATCTAACCGACATGGGATCTCACGGTTTCCACATCCCCTATCTAACCGACATGGGATCTCACGGTTTCCACATCCCCTATCTAACCGACATGGGATCACGGTTTCCACATCCCCTATCTAACCGACATGGGATCACGGTTTCCACATCCCCTATCTAACCGACATGGGATCACGGTTTCCACATCCCCTATCTAACCGACATGGGATCACGGTTTCCACATCCCCTATCTAACCGACATGGGATCTCACGGTTTCCACATCCCCTATCTAACCGACATGGGATCACGGTTTCCACATCCCCTATCTAACCGACATGGGATCTCACGGTTTCCACATCCCCTATCTAATCGACATGGGATCTCACGGTTCCACATTCTCTATCTAACCGACATGGGATCTCACAATTCACCCCACACTACTTAATGCCTGGCTTTGAAACCATTTGTAAAAATTCTAGCCCACCACTAGCAATACTGTCTTTTAACCCGTTACACAGGCTCTGTAAAAATTCTAGCCCACACTGTATTCTTCTCTCCAACTAATTTTTATTAAATCAAATTATTAAAATAATTTAATTAAATTTGGATTTAATTTTATATTATTCGACATTTAAGTTGATGCAAAAGTCACTATTCAATATTAAATATTAATAATTATTTTAAAACGAATGATTTATAAAAATAATTTATAAGAATACTTAAAAAGAGAAACAATAATAAACATAAATAATTGAAAAAAAAAATTAAAAAAATGAAATAAAATCAAGATAAATAAATAATCAGAAAAAAAAAAATACAAATCAATATTTTTTGCAAAAAGGGGCCTCATTTAAAGAAAAAAATGTAAAACCGTAAATATTTTTGGGACTTTTAATAAATTACAAAATTTGTTGGGCCTAAATGGAAATAACTTATAATTCTGGACCTGTATCCAAACACCCAATCTAGGGCAACCCATCAGCCCTCTTCCCTTTCTCTTCTAAAAACCCTAATCCTCTTCCTATTTATCATTCCATCGTCTGCGCCCCTCATCCCCTTCCCCTCCCCCCCTTATCCCCGAAGCCCTAATTCCCATCCTCCAATGGGTCGTGTGATCAGAGCACAACGTAAGGGAGCTGGATCGGTCTTCCGATCTCACACCCACCACCGGAAGGGTCCTGCCCGTTTCAGGTCCCTCGATTTCGGCGAGCGAAATGGGTACCTGAAAGGTGTGATCAGCGAAATCATCCACGATCCCGGCAGAGGTGCGCCGTTGGCTCGTGTCACCTTCCGACACCCGTTCCGTTACAAGCACCAGAAGGAACTTTTCATTGCCGCTGAGGGTATGTACACTGGTCAGTTTGTTTACTGTGGGAAGAAGGCTAATCTCGTTGTCGGGAATGTGCTTCCCATCAGAGCCATTCCTGAAGGTGCTGTGGTTTGTAATGTGGAGCACCATGTGGGTGACCGTGGCGTGTTCGCTAGGTGCTCTGGTGATTATGCTATTGTTATTAGCCACAACCCGGATAATGATACTAGCAGGTAAACTTGGATTTGTTAACTTTATTTTTGTTTTTCTGAATCGAAGCATGTCTGTTGAAGAATTTATGGATTTGTTCTTGGCTTGTTTGAGTATGGTTGCGTATTTTGCTTGACTTTCTTTGCTATTATACATGGGATGTTTGTGCTATAATTCGTTAAATGAAGCTTGACCTGAATCGAACAAAAGGGTTTGATTTGAACATACCTTTTGTGGTTTGGTTACAGATTTCATTGAACATTTATTTTGATTTTCCATCGTAAGATTTTCCGTTTACTTGAAGTTCCATTTGTGCTCAAATTGACAAGAAATAATCGGATTGATATGTGGGGATTTTCTTATTAACGCCATGAAGTACTTTGTGTGGAATATGATGATTTTTAAGGGAGTAGTGTTTGAAAGTGTTATGTGGTTGTAATACTTTTAGCCTTTTGGAGTTCATAGTGTCATTCTTTTGCAACTAATTCATGTTGCCAATTGTTCCTAAATGAGCATTTCCAAACTCCCAATAATCTTATGTGGTTTTCTATCATTGTTATAATTCTTTTGCCTCGGTGATTTTTCCTCTTTTCTCATGAACATGAACATCAACACTAACGATAAAACCTGTACTTGCTCGATTAAAACACTCCATATATATGTTTACTTGCTTAGTGATTTGCTAGCTGTGGCCAGTGTGTATTCATATCTCTCAAGAAGGCACATGAGGAGTGTTCTCATTGGAGTGAGCATAGATGATATGTTCTATCATATTAGTGAGATGAAAAACAGGGAAAAAGCTCAAAGAGATTAGATATTTCTAGTGAACTACAGTTTTGTTTATGAATTGACACTGAATTATGTACCTAGTGTGAGAGTTTTCTACTTGATTCGACTCGATTCCTACTCTGCCTTCATCTCAAAACTCTGTACTTTGCAGGATCAAGCTACCATCTGGAGCCAAGAAGATTGTACCAAGCGGGTGCCGTGCTATGATCGGTCAGGTTGCTGGAGGAGGAAGAACAGAGAAGCCTCTTCTCAAGGCAGGTAATGCATACCACAAATTCCGCGTGAAGCGAAACAGCTGGCCCAAGGTTCGTGGTGTTGCTATGAACCCAGTTGAACATCCCCATGGTGGTGGTAACCATCAACACATTGGTCACGCCAGTACCGTTCGTCGTGATGCCCCGCCTGGTCAAAAGGTTGGTCTCATTGCTGCGAGAAGAACCGGTCGTCTCCGTGGACAGGCTGCTGCTACTGCTGCTAAGTCCGACAAAGGTTCTTAGAGCGACTCATTCTGTTTTAAGCTTATTTTGCTTAATACTTAGCCCCTTCCATTATGTTTGATCTGTTTCGCATTATGTTGAAGACCATATTTAGGAGTTTTTGTTTGAGTTTTGTTACAAGATCCTTTTTGAACATATTCCCTCTCTCCCTTGTTTCTTGTTGCTACCATGAATTTGAATATCTGTTAAAAGATCTGAGCTTCAAGGGAGTTTGGAAATAATATTAGATCACCATTAAATGTTAGTGCATGGATGGAGAAGATGAAGAGATGAACAATGAAATTTGATCAAAATTTTAATTATTTTCATGTTTTTCTACACCAATGCTTTCAACTCAATTGATTGATGATAATAGGATTTGTTCGGGTCGAGATGTATTTCGTGATAATTGGTGTTCATGTTTGTTTAGGGTGTAATTGAGACTACAAATTTAAAACATCACGATCTAGTTTTTGTGCGGGTTTCGAAAAATTTATGTTTGTATGGTATTCTAAGATTCTATATCGGTGGAGGAAAATGAAATATTATTATTAAGTGTGTAAAAACTTCTTCCTATTAGACATGTTTTACTTCTTTTTATTAGACGTGTTTTAGAACGGTGAGGCTGATAGCGATATGTAACGGTCAAGGTGAACAATGCCTACTAGCGGATTGAACAATGCCTAATGGTGAGGCCTACTAGCGGGTTGAACAATGCCTAATGGTGAGGCTAATGGCGAGATGTAACGGTCAAGGTAAACAATGCCTACTAGCGGGCTGAACAATGATATCAGAGTCAGATATCGGGCGGTGTGCCAGGTGTGTCACAAGGACGCTGGTTCTCCAAGAGGGTGAATGACGTTGGATCTCACATTGGTTGGAGGGACATTTTTTATAATCTCACATGGTTGTTGAACAGGGGAACGAAACTTTTTTTACATGGGCGTGGAAACTTCTCCCTAATAGTCGCGTTTTGAAATTGTGAGGTTATGTAACCAGCAAAAGTACACAATATCTATTATGGGTGGACTTATTGTAAAATATTTTCAATTTTCGAACAAATTCATAATTTCGTATTAAATCTTATTAATGCGACTGTTCAAGTTGAAATATCAATAGAAAGAAGTCGTATACTATTATATAAAATTATGATCGAAGCTATAGATGTGAAACATAGTCACCACTCACCGATAGCGGTCGAGTAATTACAAGTTTGGGATTTAAACCCTAAATTTCGTCAAACAAATATTACACCGAGGAATACTTATTGGGCCGGTCGTTACAACCATAGGCCCATATAAAACAGCTACATGGGCCTCAATTCTGTGCCCTACTAACGATACAGAAAGACACATTTACCCTTCAACAATAAAATCGTTTTGCTAAAGGCCAGGATATTTCGGTAATTTCAGCTAATACCCTCTTCCTCTGCGTTAAAGCAGAGTCCCCATTCGCCCAAAAACTCTGCTTTTCCTGTCTAGATTTTTCTTCCCATTCTAGAAAGGGTTTAGTAGCTTAAACCCCAAGGCCATGGCTCTCAGATCGGCGGCGGCGGCGGCACCTCGGAGTTTGAGACGGCTCATTACAGGTACTTCAGCTCGTACTCTACCGATATTCTTGCAGGCTATTCATGATTGCGAGAAACCGACGCCGCCCAACACGAATGCCTTTGTTTCTGGCCGGCTGTTCTCCAGTGCTTCAACTTCCAGTTTTATTCCTCCGCCGCTTCCTCCGTCGGCTCAGCAGCGTGAGCAGCCTGAGCCTAGTACTAACCTTTTCGTCTCCGGTAACTCATTCTTTCTTAATCTAGTTGCCTTTCGTTTATTTGCTTTGGAAACCATTAATTTGTCGCGTTTATGCGTTTTGTTAATCGTTTCATTTCTAGTCGTGACTCTGCTAATGATATTGTGTTTTATGGTTTCATTCCCGCCGATTTTTTTTTTCTATTCGGCGTTGGTCGGGAATTCTATTTTTGATGTTGTTCTTTTGTCGTCTTTCAGGCCTCAGTAAACGCACTACTACTGAAAAACTTAATGAAGCCTTTGCAAAGTTTGGGGAAGTTGTTCATGGTCTGTTCTTTGTCTTTCCTTATGTTTGATTGGTGCTTTAGTCTGAAGAATTGCCATTTTTTACCTTTGGTTTTCCCTTCTGTTTACAGCAAGAGTCGTGACTGATCGAGTGACTGGATATTCTAAGGGATTCGGTTTTGTTAAATATGCCACTTTGGAGGATGCGGCTAAAGGCATAGAGGGCATGGATGGCAAGGTGAGTTATTAGAATATGCCTTCATTGTGTTAATCAACATATCACACAAATAAATACAAGATTCCTGAATATGTTGTGTATTGTAATCCACAAATGCGTACAAGATAGCATTGTAGTATTTGATTGGCAGGCTGCATAGAGAACATATTACATCTTACAGCACTCTGATTTGATTATGATACATGCTTTGAAACCTTGAATCTTTATTTACCTGGTTTGTGCTGAGAATTTTACTTCAATTTCTCATGTGCAATGGTGTCTGCTTGATGTAATTCTTTCAAACGTGGCATTATTATAATACATGCTTCTCTTCTATAATTTGAATCCTTTGCCATTCGAGCAGCATGGTGGTGAGAGTAGCTTGTTATTTTGCATCTAGGCTGATTTTTTTTATTCTTTTTATCTTTGCATAATGATGGATGTTTAAATGTTTTTTTATAATATTCTATTTTCTCTTTAGAAGATTAAATTAAAATACGACCACTATATGTTCATTGAAGCCTAAGAGGATTAAAATGTTTTTCTTTAATGTTGGAAAGACGAGATGTTTAAGTTTAGCTTAGCTGCCCAAGCTTGGAAACATTATTATTACTATTATCATCAATTTTTACAACTATTGCCAATGTATGGCTAAATGGTTAATAAATCTTTGATAGGCAAAAGCTCTTGAAAGAGCAGACTTTGGCAATGCCAAATGATTGTTGTTGAACAATTAATAATCTAGTTTCTTTTAAATCCACTTTGTCAAACTATATATATATCAAACTCCCACATTAGTTGGAGAGAGGAACGAAGCATTCCTTATAAGGGTGTGGAAACATCTTTCTAACAGACGCATTTTGAAACCTTGAGGGAAAGTGTGGAAGAGAAAGTCCAAAGAGGACAATATCTGCTAGCGGTGGGCTTGGACTGTTGCAAATGGTATCAAAGCCAGACATCGGGCAGTGTGCCAGCGAGGAGTGGATTGTGAGATCTCACACCGGTTGGAGAGGAGAACGAAGCATTCCTTGTAAGGGTGTGGAAACCTCTCCCTAATAGTTGAGTTTTAAAACCTTGAGGGGAAGTCCGGAAGGGAAAGCCGAATGAGGACAATATCTGCTAGCAGTGACCCGTGTTTTGCATCAGCATAATTTTTGACAGTGACCCGTGTTTTGCATCAGCATAATTTTTGACATTTTAGCAGAACATTCCTGTTATTAACCGTTCCAATTGATTTGATTCCATACCTCCTTGATGTCCAGTCAAACATCTACTCTGATAAACTAAAGAAATTAGAATGCTTGGAAATAGGACTTGTGAAACCAGGTTGATGGTAGCTTTTGAACACATGTTGCAATTTGTTTATTTACAATAGAATAATGACGAATTTCTATTTGTCTTCCCTCTTAATGTTATCCAGTTCCTGGATGGTTGGGTTATTTTTGCCGAGTACGCAAGGCCGAGACCGCCTCCCGAGCACAATGCAGTCCCTCCATATGGCCGGTAATGACTCTCGTAAACTTCTGCAATGGAGGGTGCTTGCCCATCCATTAAACTAGTTTGGTCTGCAAAACGGCACCCAACATTGTTTTACATGATTCAAGTTCTTTCTTAGAGGGTGGTTCTTCTCTTCCATTGCAGTGAGTGAACCTTTTTGTTATGCGGAACTGGAGATTAGCCGCAGGTATCTGATGAGTTTATTTAAACTGAGACTGTGCATTTTATACGTACCATGTATGACCTATTTTTGAACACATTCAGTCATAGTTATTATAAATATATGTTCGCTAATATACTTTGCTCTGCATTCTTGTTGATGATCAGCCGCCATTGTTTGATGTTGTCTTGAAGTTAGTTCTTACGTTGCTTTGATGGTTCATTAATAATACCTTAAGTACTAATGCACTTCAAGACATGTAGTTGATGTTTGCATGCTAATTTCAAATCCTCTTTGCTTATTTTCATGTTTCACGTTAGATATGCATTTATTATTCTTATTATGGCAATATGATGATGTATGATCGGTCACCAAAATTATGTCTACACCCACCAAGGCTATAATATAACATGGTGGGATGTGACTAGTTGTCAATTCTTCTTACTCGGATTTTATACTATCAAAATCATTGTTGTTGCTTATTCACTTTTAGCTTATAATATTGGTTTCTTTCAAACTGTTTTCAACGGACTTTCTTACTCACATGTTCTAAAACATTTCTTCATACCTGATTCGAGGCTTGATCATATGTTAAGGTTGTCTGCATAATACAACTTCTATATGGCTAACTTGTTTGTCAGCACAATCATGATTGTCCTACTGACACAAGAGTGCACTTGTGACATTGAGTCTTCTTTCTACAAATTTAACCCAACGTTTGTAGGCAACAATAGTTTGCATGTGTTTTCACGAGTGATTTGTAAACCTTTTTTCCTTTACATTTAAGTGGAACTTGCATTGATAGTCAAGCATTAACAAGTTATAGCCTACATTGGTGAACTAGTACAACATTATCACTCTCTTACGATGTTTTATCTTGATTATATTATTGTTCCAGGTCAAAAATTTTACGTTGATTTATCTATTTTCTTAACCTTCCCATCGTTGATTATACTATATCTGAAACAAGAACCGGAGACATTAATAGGTCAAACATTACTTGAACTCACCCGAACAACATTGTTGGAGGGAGCCGAAGCAATATTAGTATTCTCTCCATCCTCCAAACCAGCCAAAGTATCATAGAAAGGTCTATTAAGAGTCTCAGGCAGAAAAAACACAAGCATTCCACCCACAATTCCACACACTCCAAACACAAGAAATGGCCACCTTCCCCCCATAACCACCACAAAAGGTGCCAAAATGGCTCCCATTTGTGTGGCTTGTGAAGCACAGCCCAAGGCCACATTCCTCACCACCGTCGGAAAAAGCTCCGCCACATACAGCCCCAACAGGTTGTAGTTCCCTGCCATCCCTGATAGCCCTAATAGCCCACAAGCCACCTTCAACACTCTCCATTTCCCTTCACTATTGCTCTTTATCATACTTCCCATCAAACAAAACACCCCACTAAACCATAACGTCCAAATCCCCACCCCTCTCCTCCCCATCTTCCCTAACAACGCTGCCGTGACCGCGAACGCTGGCATCTCCACGACGGCGTTTAGAAGAACGTTGACGTAGAGATTTGTCTTCAAGTTCACGACGTTTAAACTCAACCCGTAATACACCACTGCGTTCATGAAATTCACTCCTACTCCAATGATAAGCCGCATTCGAGTGGTGGGTGAACGCATTATGTCAATAATACTCTTGTTGTTGTTGCTGTTGTTATTTGTTTGACTGTTTTTTGTGTCGAGTGAGAGAACGACTCCTTCTGGGATGTGTTTTTTGTTGGTGTTTGCTATGATGGTTAGAGCTTTCATGGCCTTGTCGAACTTCCCTCTCACTAGAAACCACCGCGGAGACTCGGAGAGGAACGGGACGACAAGGATAAGGTAAAAGAGCGAAGGAATTGAAGAGACGATATAGAGTTTACGCCATGATTGGAAGATGTAGGCAATGCCGGAGAGTAATGCAATGCCACCGGAGAAGAAGTAGCACGTAGACATTGCTGCTGTGCAGCGTCTCGTCGGACCAATGGGCTCCGTCGAAAGAACAAAAGCGCAAAGGGCATTGCCGGCTGTGCTAACTCCGGTCAATAGCCGGAGGAGGACGTAGATCCAATAAGAGGGTGAGAGAGCTGTTAAGCAGCCAAAAATGGTGTTTAGGATGCATACTAAAATCAGTGACCGTTTTCTTCCAAAGCTCGAGTCTGAGAGATGCCCAAAGATTCCTGCTCCTGTGGATCAAAGCTAACGTTCACGAACACGATAAATAAAAAATATGAAAGTTCACGAACATATTAAACAGATATAATTTAAACTCAGTATTAATTTCAAAGTTGATGATCAAATTTTAACGTTCACGAACACAACAAACAAAAAATATGAAAGTTTACGAACGTATTAGACAGATATAATTTAAACCGAGCCTACTATATACAATGTTTTAGAGAGACCTAAAGTGCATCCAACGAAGAAAATGGCTTGAGCCAAACCAACTTTATACTTGTTACCACAAACCAAACCCCACTCCACCACCGTCGAGCTTCCACGGCCGCCAACCCACTCCCATGACCCAGGTTCAAGCCTACAAACATCTTTCTCCGCCGCATTGCAGCCGGAGTGATCCAAACACCGCCACGCCATGTCCCGGTCGGCGAAGATCATAACCATAGTATGAAATGCCTCAAGGGTACAACTCAAATTGCTCAAGAAGAAATTTTTCAACTGCCACGGGCCGAACTCGCCGCAATACTTCTGCAACATGGCATCGACAGTAAGCCTCTCGGGCACCGGTTCGACGACGGGTTTCAGCTCAAGTTCCTCGAGGCCGTTCCCCATCTAAGATTTATAGTATCTTGGAAGAGTGAAAAAGAAGGAAGTTTTAAAAGGGTGTCTTTGAAGCTGTCGGGAATGTGTGTGATTTTAATGTAGTTTTTTTTGGGGAGGTCTAGGTTTTGTCACATGAAAGATGTGTTTTGAGCTGGAAGTGGTCGTGCATGCTTTAAATGAAAGGTTAAATCTTTGTTTTTTTTTTTTTTT